TGTTCTTCCTGTTCTTGTGACTTCTCTTCTTCCACATCTTCTGCCTGCTGTCCTACCTGCTCCTGAACTTGTTCTTCCTGTTCTTGTGACTTTTCTTCTTGCACTTCTTTTGCCGGCTGTCCTGCCTGCTCCTGCACTTGTTCATCCTGTTCTTTTGGCTTCTCTTCTTTTACTTCATTTGCTTGCTCCTGTACACCATTACCTGAAAGTACAGAACCTCTTCTTATATTTCCTCTTTTTTCATTCAGAAGGGGAGTACCAGGCTCGTGAATGTTTTCTCCTTCTCCACCAGCACGTTGTACTTCCTGAATCAATTCCTGTATGTCCTCTTCTGGATTTAGAATGTCTTGACCAGCATCGTTGGTATCATTCAGCTGTGTTTCCTCTTTCTCTTTCAGTGTGCTATTAAGTGTGCATCCATTCCTTAGGTTGGTGCTTTTAGTTACCGCAATTTCACTACATAAAATGCCGCTTTCCCGAGAAGATAAAACGAAAAGAGCCACGTAGAACGTAACACACGATAGGTTTCTCATGCTGGCTACTTAAAAAAAAAAAAAGGGGAACAGCGAAATGGTGAGGTAGTGAAACGATGAGGTCGTGAAACGATGAGGTAGTGAAACGGTGAGGTAGTGAAATGGTGAGGTAGTGAAACGATGAGGTAGTGAAACGGTGAGGTAGTGAAATGGTGAGGTAGTGAAACGATGAGGTAGTGAAACGATGAGGTAGTGAAACGGTGAGGTAGTAAAATGGTGTAGCAGTAAAACGGTGTAGCAGTAAAACGGTGTAGCAGTAAAGCGGTGTAGCAGTAAAATAGCAAGGTGGTGAGTGATAAAACGTACAATTCATTAGGGCATGCCTTGAAGAGAATTAGAAAGAAACGGGAAAAAGAAAACTTGACGCGATTGTATATTCTTTTTTAAAAAAAGGAATCTCTTATGTTTCCGGCGGCCAATTTGAAAACATTTTTCTTCTTGGCCCTTTTTTGCGTCCCTGTTCTTGGGTGTTTAAAAAAAAAAAATTTCTTCGTAGCAGAAAAAAAATGGTATTCTCTTTCGTTCGTGTAGGATTAACTGGTGAGCATTAAAAATTCTCAAAAAGGAAAAAAAATTAGATAACAATGAGGAACAGCAGAAAATACAGGAAAGCTAAAATAACAATAAGATGTCGCAATAAAAAAAAATAATAAAGAAAAATAAAAATAATAACAAAATGCAGCAATCAAACTTAACCATTATATAAAGAAACAAAAAAAAAAGACTAACCGAATATGTGACATAACAATGCCGCCATTAAGTCAAACCCATGCCGAACACACAAAAGGCACTAAACGACCATGATACGAACAAGCGCCTCGTCTGCACGGACAACGATAGCTCACTGCATATGCATATGAGCGGAAACTTGTACGTGTATTCTGAAAACATGCGAAACGACACAACCATATACCATCCGTTTAGTGCCACTCGTTTCGACACATGAGAGAAAGCGGATGCTCTTGAAGCATTTGCACACGACAAGCCTTCTCACGTTCGCGTGGAAATTGCCATTTGGCCTCTGAGCGTGGATACTAGGTATCGGTGCTTGGTACGGCTGCCTAGTGTGGCACCTCAGGGTGATGTCTCAACATCACTATTCCCCGTTCATCTTTGAATATGAAAAAACAAAATAAGTAACCCTTTACCGACATACCGAACAGCCTAACAGGCGGCTTCTCCGCCCAAACACGCAAAAAAAAGAAAAAAAAAACACTCCAGCAGCTGTTACGAACAGACAACTACAATTTTGTAACAATTATTTTGCATTTCGATGAACAAATGTTTATAATACCCCGGACAAAACGAATTAACCAACTATTTTAAACATAAGGTCTGCTTCGTATGCACGTTCGAAGTGGTGAAAAGTGATTTCCCAGAAGAAACCTCCTTTCATTTTATGCACGGCGTCTTTTCCTATTTTATAATCTCCATGTGCGTGCATATTTCCAAATCGCTTTTGCATTCAAGGGGTTGAGTTCCTTCTAGAGGCGTCCTGTGGGGCAGCCTCGTTCGTTCGAAAGGGAATCCACAATTGTGTGCATATATACGCATGTATTTTTTTTTTTTTTTCCACCTGTTTGGACAACTCGACACTTGTACTACCCCTCGATGAGTGCAAACGGTTAAGCAACAATTGTTAACAAATGAGAGAGAGAGGACTGCCAAAAAAGAGCAGTAGCGGGAAAGTCGATTCCGTTTCCATCACACGATAATTCATTCGAAAGACAAAAGAATGAACGAGAAAAAAAATATATCAAAATGTCAAGAAGTCGAAACGTCAAAGCTGTACGGGGGATTTCCCCATTATTTAAACCTCCCCCTCTTAACATATTTTCCTTTTCGCCCCTCAAGCGGAAACGCCAACGTGTTTGTCTTGTCCGAAGTTGCAATATAGCAGGGGGACGACCCCCCCCCCGGAGGAACGAGCATCACTCGGTATGCATAGTTCAGTGATGTTTCCATTTTAAAAAAAAAAATAAATAAATTGGGAGAATTCCTTTTAGCGCAAAAATAGAATTGTGTAATTTAGGAAAGCCAAACAAATCAGGAAGCGTGAACAGAGATAGGCCATCAGCCAAATTAGCAAGTTACCAAAATTTGTCATATTGGTAATAGGAGCCAAAACAGCCAAATTGGTCATTATTAAATCATGTTAGCCATAGGCCGCATGGGTCAAATGGGGAAGTGAGCAGCCCCAAATGAAGCTCAGCAAGTTCAGCTTACGGTGGAGCTGGCACGCTTAAATGCGCACGCAAAAAAAAAAAAAAAAAAAATTGATCGCTACCCATATCCAAAATGTAGCACTTGAAAATGAAAGGAATTTTTTTTTTCTTTTTTGAGCTTTTTCACTTTTACAAAGTCACGCTAAATGTTTCTTCTTCCCCTTTCCAGTGCCTGGTCTGGTCATATAGGTGGCATGTAGGAATGTGCCTACTTATCTACCTCTGCACGTATGCACGTACCTATGCAAGAGGGGGTGGGCGAGTGAATGCAAATGCGACTTACTTCCCACCCGGTGAGCTAAATGGGGGTTTCAAAATTCATGCCGTAGAATACGTACATGCGAAATTGCATTTTCACGGTTACACCTTATTTCTGGAGAATTCTATTTTTCCGTGGAGGTGTATAAATGGGAATGCATATAAGCAGCCCATATCGTGCTCATCTTTTGGCTCCTGTTGCAAAGACCGTACCCCCATGTCATTACACACAGGAACGGTTCAATTTAACCGAAGCGCCAATCCCCGAACAAGTGGTCATTCCTGCAAATATATAGCCATATCATCTGACAAAGCGTTAAGCACATCCACAATCTGCTCAGTTTCCAGCAAGGAATTTGTGATGTACTGAACTAAATCTTCAGTTTCTTCCATCTCCTCTTTAACGTCTATATATTCTTGGAAATGGATCATGTGTGCAGTTTCATCATTATGTGACGAATTAAATCCCTCTTCCTCTGTGTTTTTTTTTCCATTTTCGTCACTGTCATATCGATATATAATTTCCTCATCCTCACCGTCCTGAGTGTTGTCGTGAGTGCTCTTGTCAGTGCTGTCGTCAGCACGGTTATTGTCGGCACCATGAGGAATTTCGTCAGGAACCTTTTCCCCATGTTCCTCCTGTTGTTCCTTTTCTTTTTCCTTCAGTTTTCCCTCTTGTCCTTCCTGTTCTTGGGACTTCTCTTCTTGCAATTCTTTTGCCGGCTGTCCTGCCTGCTCCTGCACTTGTGCATCCAATTCTGGTGGCTTCTTTTCTTCTACTTCATTTGCCTGCTTTGCTACCTCCTCTTGCACTTGTTCTTCCTGTTCTTGTGACTTCTCCTCGTGCACTTCATTTGCCTGCTGCTCTACCTCCTCCTTTACTTCTTCTTCCTGTTCTTTTGGCTTCTCTTCTTTAACGTCATCTACCTGCTGTGCTACCTGCTCTTGCTCTTGTGGATCCAATTCTGGTAACTTCTCCTCTTGCACTTCATTTGCCTGCTGTCCTTCCTGCTCCTGCAGCAGCTCATCCTGTTCTTGTGGTTTTTCTTCCTTAACGTCATTTTCCGGATGTGCTACCTGCTCTTGGACTTGTTCTTCCTCTTCTTGTGACATCTCTTCTTCTACTTCATTTGCCTGCTTTGCTACCTCCTCTTGAACTTGTTCTTCCTGTTCTTGTGACTTCTCCTCCTGCACTTCATTTGCCTGCTGTTCTACCTCCTCCTTTACTTCTTCTTCCTGTTCGTGTGGATTCTCTTCTTGCACTACCTTTGTCGGGGGTGCTACCGGCTCTTGGACTTCTTCTTCCTGTTCTTTTGGCTTCTCTTCCTTAACGTCATTTTCCGGATGTGCTACCTGCTCTTGGACTTGTTCTTCCTCTTCTTGTGACATCTCTTCTTCTACTTCATTTGCCGGGTGTGCTACCTCCTCCTGCACTTGTTCTTCCTGTTCTTGTGACTTCTCCTCTTGCACTTCATTTGCCTGCTGTCCTGCCTCCTCCTTTACTTCTTCTTCCTTTTCGTGTGGATTCTCTTCTTGCACTACCTTTGCCGGGGGTGCTACCTCCTCTTGGACTTCTTCTTCCTGTTCTTTTGGCTTCTCTTCTCTAACGTCATTTGCCTGCTGTGCTACCTCCTCTTGCACTTGCTCTTCCTGTTCTTTTCGCTTCTCTTCTTTAACGTCATTTGCCTTCTGTGCTACCTCCTCCTTTACTTCTTCTTCCTCTTCTTGTGACTTCTCTTCTTGCACTTCTTTTGCCTTCTGTGGCACCTCCTCCTGCAGCAGTTCATCCTGTTGTTGTGGTTCCTCTTCTCTAACGTCATTT